AGATGAGTCTTGGTGGCACTTGAGGAAGAGGAGACCAGCAGCTGGAAGAGCTTGCTGTCCCTGTCGCTCTAAAGCCAGGTCAACCCACGTGGACCTCTCTGCTGTGTTTTTTTTGTTTGTGCACCTAGAGGGCAAACAATAACTTTAAGGAGTTGGTTCTTTCCTTCCGCCATATGTATCTGGGACATCAAACTCAGGTCAGCAGGCTCAGTTACAGGTGCCTTTCCCATCTCACTAGCCGGAACTCCTTTGTTTGAGACAGTTTCAATTAACCAGGCCAGCATCAAACTCTCCCTGTAGTTGAAAAGAACCTTAAATATCCTGCCTGTACCTCCAAAGTGCTGGGATCACAGGTGCTTGCCACCAGAGGGTTATTTGTTTTGTTTTAGATGCTACTGTGGGGTTAGGGGCCATATGCATGGGTGCCATGACATGTTTTGTAGGTAAAAGGAGTTTTGTGAACTTGGTTCTCTTCTACTTTCACGTGGGCTCCACAGATGGAACTCTGTTGTCAGGTTTAAGTGGCAGGTGCCATTACCACGGAGTCATCTTTCAGACCTCAGACCTGACTTTTGAGGGACTTTCAAAGGAGCTCTGCCCTCCTCCAACTTTGGTGACCTAGAGATCCCAATATTCCCTTCAGGCCATCCTTAGGACATCCATGACAGCCTGACAATTTCTGCTTGGTTTCAGGTTTGTGGCCCTTCCCGCACCAACCCTAGTGTTGTGATTGATGATCTTCTGACCCCATGTTCTCCAGGGGACCAAGGGGCCATAGAGATGACTTGGATGGATGTCCCTGGTGATAAACTCTTAGAGCCTGTGGTTTGCATGGTAAGTGACCCACTGGGAGAGAAAACTGGGAATCTGAGTCTAAAAATACAAGTGAGTGTTTTCCTATTGTCCTGGCTCATAGCCCTCCCAGAGTAGCCTTTGGGGTAGTGGGTACTGAGGTTTTTGCTGAGACTCTGGGAACCTTTAAGAGGAAGAGTAAAGTCCAGACACTAATTGTCATTCCAAGGCCTGGCTTTTTGATCCATAATGAACCAGTGAAAATCTTTTCACTTGGGTCTTACCCAGACAGCCTAGCGCTCTCCTAGTTCTCTCCTGGCAGCTGTCTGCACTGTGGGTGAATGCAGTAACGGAAGCTACTGATGGGATAGGATGGCAGAGTTATGGGGTGAAGTAGTCTTCCAGAGGGAGAGGCCTGTGGACATGATACGCAGTCTGCACTGGGGGTGACCTCAGAGGCAGGCCTCTTGTCAGTCTAGCCAGCACAACTAGAGAAGAGGCGCTGAGGGCCTGGAGCGCTGGTTTCCAGCTGTATGCTTGTGTCTCTGCAGTCAGACATGCTCCGGTCTTTAGCCACCACCCGGCCCACAGTGAATGCAGAAGACCTCCTGAAAGTGAAGAAATTCTCTGAGGACTTTGGACAGGAGAGCTAAAGCTTCACATTGGTCATGAAATTAGGAGTTCGACTGGAGCAAATTCATGGGACTTCCTACACCAGTGGCCAGGCTGCCTGGCTGCCAGCCTAGTGGGATGATGGAGGGGCCTCCCCAGCTGCAGAGATGCTTTGCCATGTAGAACACTCGGGACACTGGTTCTGCACACTCCACTCTTGGATGCTCACAGTTCTTGCCCCGATCTATTTTTTTTTGTTTTGTTTATTTTTAACTTTTGTTCCCCTAAATTAATGCTGCTTTGATTTCTGTCTTGTTTATAAATAAAGAGAAAAACCATCTGGAAGTGTTAAGGATTGGGAGTCACTAGGCCCCTGCTCCCACTCCTTCCTTCTTGAGTCCGACTACTTGAGAGCTGACCACAGGAAGTAGGAAAAGCCATCCCATCGTCCTAGGTTTGCACCTGGAGTTTCAGGTCTTCCTTGCAGGAGCTGATGGCTTCCATCAGGAGAGATGAACAGTCACGCAGGGCTTTATTGATGCCTTCCCTGGCTGAGAACTGAGCCAGCCTCTGCTGGTCCTGCCCCGGAGATGTCTAATAAACCCTTTCCCTTCTTGAGCTACTCGAGTCTTCTCATTTTTTATTCTCCTATGGGATCCTTTGAGAGTGGAGCTTACTTCTAGCAAGGCCCTCTTCACTGTTTTCTTTCCTTAACAGGACAGGAAGTGTTCTCCAGACCTGCAGTCCAGTCAGGTGATAAGTCCTGCACGCCCTAAGGCTCAGAAGTGCAGCAGTAGTTTTGCTATCTTTTGTTTTGAGGCAGGGTTTCCTGTAACTTGAACTTACTGTGTAGAGAATGACCTTGCTGGGTGCCTTTGATCCCTGCACTTGGGAGGCAGGTGGATCTCTGTGGTCAAGGCTAGCCTGGTCTACGAGAACGTTCCCGGACTGGCTCCAAGCTACTGGGAAACCTGTCTCAAAAAACAACAACAAAAAAAAAAAAACTCCTGATCCTCCCATTTCAGGCTCCTAAGTGCTGGGTTAGGAGTGGTAATGTTAGGTCTCTGTTCCCATAAACAACTTGGTAACTGCTGCTGAACAGATGCTGCCTAGTTTAGGTCTCCAGGTAAAGCAGCTCCAAAGATGCTGTGTGTACACAGATCACACTGTAAAGGGATTGTTCTAACCTCCAAAAACTGGTATTATTCCTCTATATTTTACCTTCCTCATGCCAGGAATCAAACCTACATCTCTCTACATTAGGTACTGTTGTACCCATGAGCTTTATATGCCCCCAGCTCTAAGTGCTCTATCTTGAAAACCTGTTTTCTTCGCTGATTGAAAGGAGCTGAGAGCTTTGGTTTCTTTAGATCTTAACTGTGTGTGTTTCGTGTAGTTATTTGTACTGAGAATGTTTGCCTGCCCACTTCTGTTCGTGCAAAATTGTCAGGGAATACCCACTCCTCCTTCAGGGTATATTTCTACCAATGCTGTAACACATTCTGTCAAAATCTGCTTTCAGGACATGCATTTCTATCATCTTCCTTTATCTCAATCCAGCACACACTGGCAGTCCACTGTTTACTGCCAGATTGGAACCAATTCCAAGTTGAAGCACAGAAAAATGTGCCCGTCTTCACCTGAAGTGTCTGCATGCCGGTTTTCCAGACCCTCGGTCAGGCGAGAGGGATTCAGTCATTGACCTCCATCCAGTGGAGGTTGGTAAATGTCCCGCTGTCCATTTTGTCAATGAACAAGCAGCCCTGCAAATGATCCATCTCGTGCTGGATGATTCGGGCTGTCCACCCACTTGCTGACCACACCACCGGCTCTCCCCTTGGGTCCAGTCCTGCGAAGGAAGTTACAGGCTGGCTGAGGTGAGGCTCTTCCCAATGTGCTTAACCTCCTGTCTATTTCCTAACTCCTGCCCTGGCTACGCCTATTTATATTCTATCTACAGGGGCAGCATCCGAAAGTGAATATGGACAAATGCCGACTTTTTTATTCAGCCTGATTCCTAGCTCTAGTACAGGGCAAGGATAAGAACACCCTCCTCAAAGCTTTCTCAGGTGCTATGTATCAAAGATATTTCAGTTTGGCACAGGTGCTATGTATCAAAGATATTTCAGCTTGGCACAGTAGCAAATAATAGCCACATTCTATAAGACAATGTGGACAGGCATGGAATGGTTTGTTGCTCTAGCTGGATAAAGCTGGATCCCGCTTTCTTAGACAAGCCCACCATGACTTGTAAACTAGGAAAAACGTTAATACCGACACACATATATGGGAGTCTATATACACACCTATGAGAGGAGAGACAGATAGATTCCCTATCTAAGTCTCCCCGGTTGGCACCCTGCGTCCAATCTACGCGAGTTTTGCCTTGCTCTTCAGGAGTCCCGAGTTCCCTGTTCTCCCGGGTCCGGCTAAGGAGAGCACGGCCACCCCGCCGCCCCCGTCCCTTGCACCTGAGATCTGCACGGCCTGGAAACGAGGCACACACGCCAGGAAACCGGCAACGCTCTCGCAGCCCTCGGGGAAGGTGACCATGCGGTTGTCCAGCACCCTCAGGCTGGGGTTCACCAGCACGCGAAGCGGGAAGGGCTCCATCTGACGCAGCTCGCGCAGGCGCGGTGAGAAGGTGCGGAAGAGCGCGTCGGGGAACTCGAGCGCCAGCACTTGCAGCGGCACCCCCAGCTGCGGCGCACTCAGACCCAAGCAGCGCCGCCGCCGCATCACCTGCACCAGCCGCCCCACGAGCCGCTGCAGCTCCGGCCCCGCCAGCTGCGCGGGTTCCACCGGGGCCGCCACGGTGCGCAGCACCGGGTCCCCGACCTGGCACACGCGCGAGTATGGCGGCTGCGGTGCGCCCCATACGAGGCGCCTCAGGTACCGCCAGTAGGAGCGCGTGCGTGCGGGGCCCTCTAGGCCGGCCGACGAGCTGCAGCTCCGCACCCCGCCCAGCGGGACCCGCGCCGCTACCAGCAGCCCACCCAGCAGCCCCATGGCGCCGAAACCGCCGCGACCTGTCCTCCCGCTAGCGCCAGGGACGCCGGGAAGCGTAGTTCCCGCGCGACTTCTGGGACCAGTCATCGGAGACAGCAGCCAGGTGGCGGTAGTCGTCGGCTTTATTAAAGCTCCCATACACTGCACAGTGCCCCGCGATATCCTAGGCAAAGCAGTCTCAGCCTCCACACGAGCGGCGACCTTCCCTCTCCAGATGCCGCCAGCAGCGCTGTGCCTTTAGTCCTGCTCCCCAGCCTGGCTGCAGGGAACACTGCCTATGGCTCCTCACTGGGCGGCTGCGCGGGCAGCGGCTCCCCCTCCACTGGCTCCCCAGGCAGAGGTTCCTCTGGTTCTCCCTTCTCGGACCCGCCCTCGGGGGCCGCTGAAGTAACTGGTTCCAGGCCAGGCTGCACCGCAGAAAGCTCTTGAGCTGGGGCCACGAGGTCGGGCACTAGCTCCTGGCCATCTAGACAGAAGACTGCCTCTCTCTTAGGCAGGATAAACGCGAGAGGCTCCTGGATAGCGCTGATGTTCACATGCCCAAGGTTTCCGTGCTTGGAGAGCTGGGTGGGTGAAATGCCTAACCCAGATGGTAGGAAAAATGAAATGGAAAACAAGTTATTAAATTCAACGCAGAGACCACGGTGGGGGCGCTCAGGGTAAAGAACTGACACAATTACATATTCCAATACTGCGAGAGCATACTTGTAATATATTAAGACTGTTACACTGGGACCCCACGGTAAGGGTGGTTGGAGCAGGTTAGACACCAAGAGAAAGGGCTTGTGGAGAACAGCCACCCTTAGCCAAGGTCATCACTGACCCCTCTGCCCGAGGAGGAGCTGGGTCTCCCCTCAGCCCTACTCCTGAAGAGATCTATAACTGAACGAGGTTTTTTTATTTATTTATTTATTTTTTACTGGTCTTATTTTTTGAGACAGGGTCTCTATATAGCAATGGCTCTCCTGGAATTCACTATCTAGACCAGGGAGGTCCCAAATCACAAAGATCCACCTGCCTCCTGTTTCCCAAATCCTGGGATTAAAGGCCTGTGGCACCAAGCCCAATGAGAGAGAGAAAAAAAATTTTTTGTTGTTGTTTTTTTTCAAGTCAGAGTTTCTTTCTGGGTGGCCGTGGCTGTGCTGGAACTCACTCTGTAGACCAAGTTGGTCCCAAAGTCGGATCCACGGCCTCTGCACCATTTCTCTAGGAGGCGGAGGTGTGCAGACTAGGAGGTTAAGGTCATCCTCCAATACACAGCAAGGGCTACAGGAGACTCTGGTCCAAAAAAAAAAAAAAAACCAAAACAACAAAACCACTCTCTGAATATTGTATATAAAGGGAAGCACACAATAAGTAGTCCTTTTGTGACTGGCTTCTTCCGCTTGCCCAGATAATCCACACAGTGTATGATTCCATTTCTATAAAATGTTCAGAAACGACAGAGCAACAGCAAAAGTTTGCCAGGTACAACTGAAGAGTGTCTGCCAATGGGATCTTAGAGTGACAGACTTCTAAAACAGGTGCTAGTAATGGTAACCCCACCTGTGTATATTTTCAGAAAGGCACTGACTTATGCACACAATACTTAGGTAACTAAATGCCTGTAAAGCAATTTAAAAGTTCATACTCTTAAGACAGAAGTGGTGTGTGCCTGTGACCCCAACCCCTGGATGGCAGAGGCAGGATGACCAGAAGTTCAAGAATGGCTTTAACTACATAGCAAATTCAAGGCCAGCTACATGACTTAAATTAAAAATATTCACATACTCATACCCACACAGACTTTACATCAATACATAATTAATTAAAAATAATAAAAATAGGCTAGGTGGTGGTGATACACACCTTTAATCCAAGCCATTCAGAAGGATCTGAGTTTGAGGCCAGTCTGGTATACGGATTGAATTTCAGGACATCCAGGGCTACATATGAGACCCTGTCTCAAAACAACCAAAAACAATAATAATAAAATCATAGAAGAAAACCAGAGCTAGGTGTTATGGTTCATGCCTTTAATCCTACTCTGGAGAGACAGAGGGAGAGAGCTCTGAGTTCCAGGTCAGCCTGGGCTACGCAGATCCTGTAACAAAAGGTAAAAAAATTTAAAAATCTTTCCTTTTTCTTACCTAGAGTCTGTGCTATCTGAGCTGGCGGGAACAGGACTTGAAGACAGCGGTTCAGATACGGAACAAGGTCTTCCAGGAAGGCAGTGCAGAACTGGACGAAGATTTCGAGTTCCCCACTGCTGAACGCAGCCTCTTCAGCACGATGGAATGCCAGGATTGTTTTGGTTACCTACGAGACAAGAATGACAAAAACCTCAGACGTCTGCTGCTGCTGACGAAGTGGACAGCACAAACGTGCAGCAAGAAGAAAGGTCTTTCACAGCCGGGCGGTGGTGGCGCACACCTTTAATCCCAGCACTCAGGAGGAAGAGACAGGCTGATCTCTGTGGGTTCAAGACCAGCCTGGTCTACAGAGCAAGTTTCAGGACAGCTAAGGCTACACAAGGAAACCCTGTCTTGAAAAACCAAAAAATAAAAAAGTTAATCATTCTCAACACTACATTTCATTGCCATCTTGTCCAAATTCAGCACTGTGGTCAAAAGTGACACTATTGTGTCACATCACTGGGGGGTTGATGACCCAACTTGTTACGTTCTAGTACGGTTCCCAGTTCCAGGAGAGGAGCATCATGAAATAACACTGGGGAGATGCTCTCCTGTTCCTTGAGGAAGAAACAGCCATGTTGTGAGCTATCTATGGTAGATAGCCTCTAGAAACTGAGTTCTGTAACTTTTCCAATGGCATGGGGTGACACCTGACAACTGGAATGAACTCCTGATGGAGCCGGATCACTAACTCCAGCAGACACCTGGACCCAGCTGATGCCTTGAATACGGCCTGTGAGACCCTGAGCAGAGGACCCAGAGACAGTGGACCTGGATGCCTGGCTCACAGATACTGTTTTAAGCTGCTGAGTTAATGGGAATCTGGCTGAATGACTGCCACAGGTACTCTACTTCACAGCTTCTTCCAGGATCATCCCCACAGAGTCATCATGCTCTCCAGAAAACCATTAAGACCACACTAAACCTCTCCAAGTCAGCAGGCACCATGCTTATATGGACTGGTTTAATACAAAAGCCTGGCTGGCTGTTAACAAAGGCAGACCAAGGTAGAAGAAAATTACCCACCTTGGCAAGGGCATTCTCCAAGGCCCGAGTCACATCCTGTGCTAGGGCCACAGGACAGCAGAGACGCAGATCGTTGAAAGCAACCAAAATGTTGTTGAGGAAGCAGGCAAGCGGCGGGAAGTCTAGGAGTACCATCGGTGGCTGCAACGTCCCGGGTTGTGTGGTCGGCACTGCAGCAGGCATGTTACTGCTGCCCAGGATGGCTGCAGCTGAGATGAGGGTGTACGAAGTCATTTCATCCTGGAATTTCTCTACTGCTTCCTCAACTGCTTTCTGGAAAGAGTTGAGTGCCACTCTCTGGAAAACAGGAGCCAACTGGCCCCGGAAATCAGCCCCCACCCGGCTAAAGGACAGCCCAAAGTACATGCATTGGCCCAGCAGAGAATCCAAGCGCCCTCCTATACCCCGGGAAAGATCGGTCTCTAGCACTTGCAGGAACTGTGAGATTTTCTGCAGCACCCAGCCATGGAAGATGGCACCCTCATTCACAGTGTACTCTCCCATGGCAGATGGCAGCAAGGGGTCCTCATCCGAGAAGATGGCACGGTACTGAGTGATGATATCAAAGAGGTGGACCCGGCAGGCCTCAATGGTTTTTGTGATATGGAAATAAGGATCATCATTAGGGATGGCAGTCAGGATGGAACGAAGCCAAGCATCCCGGGCCTGAAGAAACTTCACCCTCAGCTCAGCCTCAGTGAAGACATCCATGCGCCGGAGATAGCCAATGACACGCAGGCAGGCTGGGAGCTGGATGTTGGTCCTCAGTTGCTGGATCAGCTGGCTCAGCATCAGCTGCATGGACTGGCGCACTTCATTCACGATGCTCTGACAACAGACACTGGGTCACACACTGGGAAAAGTACTGAGACCCATCCTACTAACCTGGTCACCAGGGGCCAACATTCTTATGGCTTTCCTGACATATAGTGGATTTTTTTTTTTTTTTTTTTTTTTTTTTTGGATTTTCGAGGCAGGGTTTCTCCGTAGCTTTTGGTTCCTGTCCTGGAACTAGCTCTTGTAGACCAGGCTGGCCTCAAACTCACAGAGATCCGCCTGCCTCTGCCTCCTGAGTGCTGGGATTAAAGGCATGCGCCGCCGCCACCACCACCACCACTACCACCACCACCACCACCACCACCCGGCATATAGTGGATTTCTAAAGCTTATATCTGCAGGTTTACAGAGATCTGCTTGCATAACTCTCTTGCTCATAAATCCTCCTACGATTTCCCATCACAGTCAACAAATTACCAACTAGTCATCAGGACCTCCAGGCCCTGCCTGATGCTCCAGCCTTTCTCATTATAGTCTAGGAAGAGCGCTGGGATTCCTGAAACACTCCAGTTTCTTTCCACCTCACCCTATCTGCTTCTCCTCCTGGCTGCTGTCTTCCTAGATCTTCAAGCACTGGTTCTTTCTCACCCTAACCATGCTTCCCTTTACCCTAGTCCCCAACTCAGTTTACTTATTTTTTGAGACAGAATCTCAGCAAGCTGGCCTCACCTTCACTAAATAGCTAAGAATGGCCTTGAAGGATCCATCCTCTTGGCTCCACCTTCCAGGGGCTGGGTTATAGGCATATCCCAACCAGGCCTGCCTGGCTTTCTCTGGCTTATTTCTTCAGATATTTACCAATATCCGCAATACTATTTTATTTATTTTTCTTTAACATGCCTTAGTGTTTGCCATGGGTGTCGGGCCCCCAGGAATTGGAGTTACAGACAGTTGTGAGCTGCCATGTGGGTGCTGGGAAATGAACCTGGGTCCTCTGGAAGAGCAGTCAGTCAGTGCTCTTAACCCCTGAGCCATCTCTCCAGCCCCTGCGATATTATTTGTTAATTATCAGACTTCACTAGAATAGAAACTTCGTGGGAGCCATGGCCTTGACTTTGTTCACCTGGTATTCCTGCTACCTGAGGCAGCATCTGGCACCTGAGCAATATGATCTTTGGCCAGACAGTGGCGCATGCCTGTAATCCCAGTACCAGGGAGGCAGAAGCAGGCAGATCTCTGTGAGTTTGAGGTTAGCCTAGTCTACAGTGTGAGTTCCAGGATAGCCAAGGCTACACAAAAGACAAAACACTAAACAAAAACAATAAAACCAAAACAACAACAGAAAAGATCCTTGAATGAGTGAGCCAGTATCTTCTGTTCAGCTTACCTGGCTGGCAGAAATTGATATGAAATATGCAGAGGTTTCTACTTAAAAGCTTAGTCACAACCACAGAACTAATAATTATGAGACGTCAACTTGTGGGCCCTCTGGGCAAGCTGGCTACCTGGATGACAGGGATGGAGGAGTATTTCCTTTCCAGTCGGCGAACATAGGCGGCAAGCTCCAGGGCCTCTTCGTAATAGCTGTTTCGAACACAGGTGTCCATAAGCTGGGGAATCTCTAAAATCTCCAAGATTTCTGTGTGCCGGTTTAGAGTCAGGGTGTTCATCCGGCGGTTCGAGCTGATCTCCTCGGCCTCCTTCACAAAGTTCCTAGAAACAATTAAGAAAATAGATTTCAGGGGGAGGGAAAGGGGAGGCGGCGGTGGGGAAGAGACAGAAATCTTTAATTATTTAATAAATAAATAAATTTAAAAAAAAAAGAAAATAGATTTCATTGTTTTGCACAGTAGGTAGTTACCAAGCACTTATTGGGCACTGGGCTCGATAGTCTGCCTGGTTTATTTAAAATTTTCCCACAGGGCTGGGGGTGGTGATGTATACCCTCGATTCTAGCCTTCCAGAGGCTGAGGCTGATATGAGTTCATGGCTCTTTTTCTACATAGTGAGTCTCAGGCTAGCCAGGGATACAGTTAACACTGTTTCAGAATCCTCATATCAAACCTATAACTCCTATTATAATTCAAGAAACTTTTTTTAAAAATATTTATTTATTTATTTATTTATTTATTTATTATGTATACAATATTCTGTCTGTGTGTATGTCTGCAGGCCAGAAGAGGGCACCAGACCTTATTACAGATGGGTGTGAGCCACCATGTGGTTGCCGGGAATTGAACTCAGGACCTTTGGAAGAGCAGGCAATGCTCTTAACCACTGAGCCATCTCTCCAGCCCAAGAAACTTTTTTTTGAGACAGGGTTTTTGTTCATAGCCCTGACTGTCCTGGAACTCTTTCTGTAGACAGAGATCTGCCTGCCTCTGCCCTAGAGTGCTGAGATTAATGACATGCCACCACCACCTGGCTAAAGAAATATTGTTTAATACTTTATTTTTTTGTGCCTTGTTGTGAAGGTGTCAGATCCCCTGGAACTGGAGTTACAGACGGTTATGAGCTGCCATGTGGGTGCCGGGAGTTGAACCTGGGTCCTCTGGAAGAGCAGCCAGTGCTCTTAACCACTGAGCCATCTTTCCAAGTCCCTTGAAGAAACTTTTAACTCAAGGCTTAAGAAACTTTTCAAGATAGCATCATTAATTGGTAGCTTACGTAAAGCATCGAGATGGCTCAGTCGCCCTGAGTTTAATCCCTAGAGACCACATAATGGAAGAAGAGAAGCTGTCTTCTGACTTCCACATGCACATGGTGGCACCCATCTCCCTCCATGTAATTTTTTAAATGGCTTGTAGATCTGGATTGCTGCAAGGATGGCCACATTTGGGGCTGAACTGCTCTAGGCCTCATTAAGGACTAAGGCAAGGCAAGGCAAGGCACTTGGCCTCTCTGGACTTGTCTCTTGTTTGGTTAAATAGTAAGAAGACCCATCTTACAAAGGCATGAAAGTTAGAGACAGGTAAGATAACATGTATGGGGCCAGGAGGCGCAGTGGTGTACCCCTTTAATCTGAACACTGAGGAGGCAGAGGCAGGCAGATCTCTGAGTCTGAGGCCACCCTGGTCTACAGGGGGATTTTTGGGACAGCAAGGGCTACACAGAGAAACCCTGTCTTGGAGGGGGGGAAACATTCATGAAATACTCAGGACCTGACAAAAGCAAATGTATAAAAGGAGTAAACAATTTCCTTACTGGCTACTGGGGCTGTAGAGCTGGCTCAGCAAGCACTGCTCTTGCAGGGACTCAGGTTCAGGTCCCCACACATACCACCCCTTCTGGCATCCTTGGGCACATGGTGCTCACATTCGTGCAGCCAAGACACTCATACACATCTTTAATAGCTATTAATATTCTCTCATCAGAGCCCTAACCAGCCTACAAGCCACACTCTTGCCGAGTCCCTCAGGTCTGACTGTGATGTGCGGCTGTTCAGCCTTTATCCTTTCTCTTTTTCTCCACTTCTCTATGGTAACTCTAGAAATTGGCTTTTAAGTCCTGAATCTCTTTCCAGACATAGAGGGTACATAGGCTGGATAACTAAGAGTATAAGCGTGAGGACCTATGAAGCATTATAGCTCAAAAAAGGAAATGTTTTTGACGACCTATGATACCCCCAAAAAGGATTTCCATGTCAGCCTCATTTACCAATGGAAGTTTCAAAGCAGCCTCCAACCCAAGCTGTTGAATATTCCTAATTATAAAGGTGCATATATAGTAAGCAGGCGTTTATACAGTGTTAAGTATGTCGGGCCCAATGTGTTGATACAATGTCTAGACACGTAGCTCAGGATGGCCGGAACTCAATACTCAGACTTGGACTTCAAGACCTTGAGCTTCAAGTGCTGGAATCACGGTTTGTGTCAACAAGACTGGCTGGATTTTTATTATTATTTAATGCAACAGCCTACGAGGGAGAGGTGGACTCCTGGATTCCAATTCTGACTTGGAAACTTACTAGCTGTGTTCTCGGACAAGTCAGTTCACTTCGACTTCCTCGTCTGTAAATTAACAATGACAGTACCTACCTAGGTGGTTGTGGTGAAATTTAAGTGGATTAATAAGGCGACAGGGAGAGAGCTCTGCGCTCCACGTAGGGGTCAGCTATGTCTAGCATCCTGGCATCCTGTCAGCTACAGATATGGGCCTCTCAGCATTAGGCCAGCCGCACCTGCAGCTCTGCTGAAAGCTGGGCAGACGGTCGAGCAGGTGACCGAGGGACGTCTCCACGTCGCCAAAGAGACGGTGGATGCGCTCGGTGCACTCGGCACCGCGAATGAACGTCTTGTAATTGGCGAAGGCCAGGTCGCGCGTCTGCTGCAGCAGCTGGGCCCGCTCCTCCGCCAAGCGCTCGGGCTCGCGTCGCAGCCGGTCCAGCCCCGAGCCGCTCAGCTCCCGGAGGTAGCGGCCCACGTCCGGCCGCTCACGCCACTGGGCCTCGGGGAAGCGGTCGCGGAAGAGCGACGCCAGGAGTCCCTCATCTTCCACCTCCCCCAGCGCGGCTGCTGTGGCCGTCGCCGTCGCCGTGGCCGAAGCAGGAGCGGAGGACTGGAGAGTCACAGCAGCCGCCATCTTCCCAGCCAGGCAGCCAGCCACACGGCCACTTCCTCTCCAGACCCGGGAGGGCGCTGGCTTCGCGCCTGGAACCGGAAACGGTTGGGAAACATTTCCTTTCTCTATGGTTTCTCCGCCCAGCCCGCTTTCCGGGTCCCCGGAGGTCCTCCGAGCTAGGTGGCACTAGCACAGAGAACACGTGGCACAGGGCTAGAGAGGCACCCTTTGGTGTTGCCAGGAAGCGGGGTAAGCTGACTTCCGTTTCCGTCTCTCCCGGCACGAGGATCCCGGGAGCCGGGCTAGCAGGAAAATGCGGCCGTTGACAGAAGAAGAGACCCGAGTGATGTTTGAGAAGATCGCGAAATAGTAGGCACCCGAGGAGCGGACGGGGACGGGCGCGCGGGGAGCGGGGACGCGGCCCTGGGGCGGGACGGTCCCGGCGTAGCCTCCAGTCTCCTTTCTGCCCTCAGCATCGGGGAGAACCTGCAGCTCCTGGTGGACAGGCCCGACGGCACCTACTGCTTCCGACTGCACAACGACCGCGTGTACTATGTGAGGTGAGGTGGGGCTTGGCGCGCACCGCGTGACCGGGCTGGAGGCCCGCGTCCGTCGGTGGCCGTCACCCAGGCACCTTCCTCCCTCGTCCTTGTAGTGAGATGATCCTGAAGCTGGCCGCCAACATCTCCGGGGAGAAGCTGGTTTCACTGGGGACGTGTTTTGGAAAGTTTACCAAGACCCACAAGTTCCGGTTGCACGTTACAGCGCTCGATTACCTTGCACCCTATGCCAAGGTATGTGGGGCTGGTCTACTTGGTGCCATCGGGGATGTTGTCGAGGAGGACGGCTAGGTCAGCACAGACTCATTTACATGGAGTGCCTGCCAGTGTCAGCTGCAGGTGCTTGTAGGTATTGCTGCTTGGGTATGCTTAGGAAGGGGTGTGGGCCTCAGGGTGGGAAACAGACCTCCCCAGTGGCAGCCGGAGCAGAGAGAAGCGGCTGTGCTGAGAAGGACCCTGGGCCCCCGACAAAAAGAAAAGAAACTGTTAAGCTGTCTGTCAGGTAAATTAGCGCGTTGAGATGTAGGGTTGAGGAAGGAACTCCAAGGCGAAAAGTTTAGGGTCCAAACAGTGTAAAGGGAACGTGTCTGCTTGTCCGTTTGTCCATCCCCCTCCTCTCCTTTAACACAGAAGCAGCAGCTGCTCTCACTACAGGGTAGAGCTAGCGTTTTTTGTCTCTTGGTTTTTAACCCTCTTCCAGTATAAAGTGTGGATAAAGCCTGGAGCAGAGCAGTCCTTCCTGTATGGAAACCACGTGTTGAAATCCGGTCTGGGCCGAATCACTGAAAACACTTCTCAGTACCAGGGAGTGGTGGTTTACTCCATGGCGGACATTCCTTTGGTGAGTAGAGATGGGAGCCGTTTGGAAGGGGTGTTGCTTCCGTCTGCGCACCTGTGAGCGATACCTCTCAACATCCTTTGAATTTCTCAGATACAGCTGTTTTAATAAAGCTTTTTGTTTGATTCCTTTTTTTTTTTTTAAGTGAGTGATTTGGTGTCTGTTCAATTCCAGGGTTTCGGGGTAGCAGCAAAGTCTACTCAAGACTGCAGGAAAGTGGACCCCATGGCAATTGTGGTGTTTCATCAAGCAGACATTGGGGAATACGTGCGGCACGAAGAGACACTGACTTAGGATGGTCGTCCTGGGACCTTTTTGCTGTGTGAAAGGACTTGGCTTTGTTTCCTGTGTGCAGACATTATCGTGTTAGATTTGGACAGCACTGATATGTGCAACTTGGATTCTTACTCAATGGAAATGGCTAAAAATAGGGTTCCAGGCCCACTTTGACTACTTGGCAAGTTCAAGGCTAGCCTGGACTACATGGTGAGACCCTGTCTCAAAAGCTGAAAACAAACAAACCAAAAGCTGTCATGTGTTTGAGTAAACAGTATCTCTGTTCTCCATCTGCATCACCTTTGAATCAACAGACTTGTTCTGATAGCGAGTTCTAAGTCACTGCACTAAGGACAGGAGCCGTTTTATTGTTATCTGTGATAACCCTTTTGCAGGCTAGTAAGAGCATCTGGACTTCCTATTATTTTAGTATCATTAAAGATAGAAGCAGTCATATAAGACTAGTAGGCTCTGCTGTGATCTTACAGCTAGGATTTAGTAAAATAATAGATGTGGTTCAGCTGTTTTTCTTTGTGGTGAGCGGTGTATGGTGTGGAAGATCCTGTACTCAAGCCTCGATTCTGCTGCCTGCCGGTTGTGTGCTAATGGACAAGTCACTCCACTTAGACACGCTTCATTTTCTCCCTTTGTTAAAAGGGGGGAAAGGCCATGAAACTATTCAGTGTGGTTGTACACACCTTTAATTCCAGCACTGTGGAGGCAGAGAGGCAGGTGGATCTCTATGGATTTGAGGCCAGCCTGGTCTGCTTAGGGAGACCTGCCTAAAAAAGTCAAAACCCACAAAACTGGAAAAACATCTTTAATCATCAGTGTAACAGTCGTATTCGGAATTAAAAATAATGATTGTAAAGCTTCTTGCATAGGATCTGGTGAATAGTTTTGGAATAAATACTAAGATATATTTTTAAAAGAATTTTAGATTTATTTTTTGTGTATGAATGTTTTGTTTGCATGTGTGTGTGTATGTCTGTATGTGCCTCATGACATGGAGGCCAGAAGAGGGTCTTGGATGCCCTGGAACTATAATTACAGATGTATGTGAGCTGCTGTGGGTGTGCTTAGAACCAAACTGGGTCTTTCCCAAGAGCAGCCCGTGCTCTTAAACCATTGAACAGTCTCTCCGACCACCATTTTAAAAAACTGTATGTGTGCCAGGCATGATGGTGCACACCTTTACTCCCTGCACTCAGTAGACAGGGGCAGGTGGATCTCTGAGTTCAAGGC